TTCGAGGGAATTATTATCCCTCTTAAGGATCAAAGAGGTTTAAGAAACTTACCCTAAGTCACCCAGCTAGAAAATGGTAAGGCATTTTGCTATGTATCCCAGGTTGGCCCAGAACTCCTGGATTCAAATGATCCTCATGCTTCAACCTCCCAAGTAGCTGGAACTATAGGCATGTACTCCCAGGCCTGATGGAGATAATCTTTTACATAATTTACCTGGTTATATACTATTAGCACCTCAATTTTTTAATTGAAAAGATTTAAAAAGAAAATCAGTGGCTTTCATTTTTTCTTTTGACCCAGTACATATCAATGACAAATTTCATGATTTAAAAAATGATGCTCTTTAACATACTGAAAAATGTATACACAATGATGAAAGCAAAGATATGCAAAGTCACCACAACCAGACTTATAGCTACCCAACCAGTCAAACCAGACTGTAACCTCATTAAGCATATGAATCCAAAACAATGCGTCAGGCAGCTTTGGCTGCCGAAGCTGACATTTAGAGGAGCCTGAGACAGGAGGCAGTCAAGCACCAGCAAGGAAGAGGGAGTAGCACTGAACCAACTGCGGGCATTCAAAGCCCTGTGGTAACTTTATTTATACTGGAAAGTGTCATCCCTGTCTCTACATCAGTCCCTGTGAATTTGCTTAATGGGAGCTTGTTGAGAGCCACAGCAGAAGGGGCCCCAGCAAACTTCCAGCTGCCAGCTGATGATTGGCTCACAGAGGCTCCAGCAAACTTCTAGCTGCCAGCTGATTGGCTCCTCTGCGGTGATGCTCATTGAGCTGTTTCCCGGCCCTTTCAGACCACGGAGCTGCTCATTGGGGGACTTTTTTTTGCTCCACCCACGTGACCCAGCCAATGAGCCTCAAGAGCAGGAGGAGTGGGGGAGGGGTTGAGAGGCTTGTGGGAAGCCAGTGGTGGCAGTTGGGCTCTGAGGGAATTCCTGAAGAGCTCCTGTGGTGTCGTGTGTGTGTGTGTGTGTGTGTGTGTGTGTGTGTGTGTGTGTTCTAAAAATAAAGTTCGTTTCTGCTTGATAAGTGGCTCCTGAGTTGTGCCCAGCAGACTGTGGCATTTGGTGGCCCGTATGGGGAACGAACCCACGACCTTGGCATTATCAGCACCAAGCCAGACTGCGGCAGGAGCTGTCTCTGTTTTATTGATGAAAATCAAATTTCTAAACCTGAAGATCATTCCCTGGACCAGGATGAATTTACTAATGTAATGAATGCCACATAAATGAGGCCTCCTGGTAGACTGTCTGCTGGTCTTCTCCAGTGTGACCTTGTGAGAGCTTACCTTAAAAAAATAAATAAATAAAACAAACAAAAATTAACAGTGACCATGTATGCTTTCATTAATGCTAGTAACAACGCAACAGGATACCGTGTCCTAGGGACACCCCCTCTAAGGAGCCTTCCCCAGTCCTCTTAGAACTATTCTTTCCCTCTTCTGGGTGTTCCAGCACCCCACAGTAATCTTCAGTATGCAATGCTGGGAAACAAAGTATAAGCAGATATATCTCCCCCACTACACCACAAATGGCAGGACCCTCATATGAGTCTTCAAAGTCAATGGAATGACAGTGACTTTCCCACTGTGCATTTTCAAAACTCACACAATATGAAGCTTTCTGACAGTAAGAGGTATACTATAGATCCAAGCATGCAAAAAAACAAACAAACAAACAAACAAAAAAAAAAAAACGTAATTTTTTAAGCAGAACAAGTAACTGAATATGGATTCTGAAGCCAGACTGTCTGGATTTGAATCCTAGCTCTGGAACTTTTTAGCTCTGTGATCTTGGGCCAATTATTTAACTTCTATGTACCTAAGACTTCTTAGCTGCAAACTGGGAATAACAGTACCTAATTTAAAGGATTGTTATAGAGATTAAATGAATCAGTATATATAAAGTGCTTCAAATGGTACTGGGCACATTAAGTGCCATCTAAATGTTAGTTTTCAATTATTATATTTTAAAACTATCTACAAGAAAGACTGAAGGTTTTTCACACTAAGCAGCAGAATTTAGGGCTGGGATTGTGGCTCAGCGGTAGAGCGCTCGCCTAGCACAGGCAGGACCTGGGTTCGATTCTCAGCACCACATAAAAATAAAGGCATTGTGTTGTGTCAATCTATAAAAAAGATATTCTCTCTTAAAAAAAAAGCAGAATTTACAAGTATAGAATGACAAGGTTGTAACAGGACTGCATATTATATGAGTATATTTAATAAAACCACAGAACAAAGATTTAGAAGTTATCTTCTACTCCAATGGTTCTCAAAGGAAGGGGCCTTGGGCCAGCAACGCCTGGGAATTTTTCTCTAAGGCTTCAGCCACAACCATGGTTTGGGTCCTTCCCATCTCCTGTGGATGGCTACAACAACCTTACCCCCTGCTCTCCCTGCTTTATCCGGTTTACTCCTAAAGCAGTGCCCCAAATCACCACTGTGGTCTTTCTTACATGCAAACATGAATAACTCACTTTTTTTGTCCATGAACTCTAGTCACAGTGAGCTACTTCAAACTCTTTCAAACTTACTTTCTGCCTCCCTTTTTATGTCTTCGTTCCAGAGTCTTGGGATCACTGATAAATTACTTTTCATTTTTGCCAGCCTTCTGTTTTCTTTTCAGCCATATGGTTTTAAAATTTGTATTTCTTTAATAAAAAGCATGGCTGGCCCTTTCTACCATGTACATGTGGGGTAACAGTAATAACAAAAAATTACTTAGTACTTTCATGTGTTGGCAAGTCAGAGTGTCAAATAGGATAATAAATTGGAAAATGCTTTAGCCACATGCAGTGTAGTAGGTTTATTCCATTTAACCTCAAGAGTGAGATTATAGGAATTATTTTATTTGTGATATTTCTACTGTGGCTTATCTTTTAACTGGAATAGAAAGTGGTGGTTAGAAATCTGGAACTAGTCTCCTTGGTTCAAATTCCAGCTCTGCAACTATTAGCTACATTAACTGTAGCCAAGTTTGGGCACCTCTGCAAAATGGAGACAATAATAGAATCTATACCTTTCAGGGTTACTGTTGTGAGGACTAAATGAACTAATATAAGCAAACACTTAGGATCATGCTTAGAGCTTTAAAACTATTATTATATCCTGTTCCTACCATTTCCTGCAAAAATTTTTTTTGCACATAAAACAAAGTATGATAAATTGAAGAGTATCATGTTCAGAATCAGAGAGGCCAGTGTTCAATTCCTGGCTCAGCTACTTCTTAGCTGTATAGTCAAAAGCACATTGTAACTTTTTTTAGCCTCAGTCCTTCCATTTTAAAAAACAGGGGATAATAACAGTACCTGCTACTTAGATCTACTGTGGAGACCAGACAAGAAACAAGAATACACACACAAAATGCTTAGAACAGGGCTTCACACATAATATACATTCAAGTAACAAAATGCTTTTTTTTTACTATTAATAAAAATGTGAGGCTGAGGGTATAGCTCAGTGGTAGAGCACTTGCCTATCATATGTGAGGCCCTGGGTTCAGTCCTCAGCTCTGGGGAAAAAAGTGTCTGAATTTCTTTACTTAAATATTAACACACTATCAGAATGGGCATAGTGGCATGTGCCTGTAATCCCAATTACTTGGAGACTAAGGAAGATTTTGAGTTTGAGGTCAGACTTGGCAATACAGTAAGACCCCATCATCTCAAATAAAAAAAAAAAAAATCCTTTATAACAATCCCATAAATTAGGTATTAGGATATTCATTAGATGAGGAAAATGAGGTTCAGGAAGGCTTGAATAACTTCTCAAAAAAATATTTTTGGGGTACTGGGGATTGAATTCAGGGGTGCTCTACCGCTGGTATGGTTTACATATTAAGTGTCCAAAGGCTCAGGAAGAAATTACATATTAGGTGTCCGAAGGTCTACAGGAGAAATTACTGGGTTATGAGTCTATCCAATCAGTGAATTAATCCCCTAAGGGGATTAACTGAGTGGGAAACTGAAGGTGGGTAAGGTGTGGCTGGAGGAAGTGGGTCATTAAGGGCATACCTTTGGGGTATATATTTTTTATCTGGTGAGTGAAGTCTTTGTTTTGTGATCATCATGTGTCCCACCTCCCTCCACCAATCTTCTGCCATGATATTCTGCCTCACCTTGAGCCCCCAAAGAATGGAGCCTGCTGTCTAAGGATTGAGACCTCTGAAACCGTGGGCCCCAAAATAAACTTTTTCTTCTCTACAATTATTCTTGTAAGACCTTTTAGTCACAGCAGCAAAAAAAGCTGCCTAAAACAACCACTGAGCTATATCCCCAGCCCTTTCTTATTCTGACACAGGGTCTCACTAAGTTGCTCAGGCTGGTCTCAAACTTGGGGTCCTCCTGCCCCAGCCTTCCAAGAAATTGGGATTACAGGGGCTGGGGTGGTGGCTGAGTGGTAGAGCGCTTACCTAGCATGAGTGAGGCACTGGCTTTGATTCTCAGCACTGCATATAAATAAATAAAATAAAGGTCCACTGACAACTAAAAAAAACGAAAGAAATTGGGATTACAGGGGCTGGGTGGTGGCTCAGTGGTACAGTGCTTGCCTAGCATGAGTGAGGTACTGGCTTTGATTCTCAGCACTGCATATAAATAAACTATAAAATAAAGGTCTATTAACAACTAAAAAATATTAAAAAAAAAAAAAAAAGAAATTTGGATTACAGGCACACGCCATATGCACGAGTTGTTGGGATAATGGGCATGTACTACCATACCTGGCTCTCAAAGCCATCTTTACATTATTTTCTCAAAAGTGGCAGAATGGAGATTCAAGCCCAGGATTGTTATCAATTTATTAGATCACAGTGCCTTCTAAGAATCCATGTCATAATCCTTATTCAACAAATATATACAAGCCATAAATGTTTTGCATATTTTTGTATATATCTCTCTCCGTGCATATATATTTCCTTTCACAAAAATAGACAAAATAACTAAAATTGACATTAAAGCAAAACTCCAATATAAACTGAATATGTGGATAGTATGCTTTATTATTACTTAAAGTATATTATTGTCATAATTACAGGCTACAATTTAGAAGTTCGAAATGCAAGAGAAAAATTTAGAGAACCCAAATAAAGCTGAATCAGTATGTAGAAGATGGTTAAAACTTTGTAAGTAGTGCCACTTAGCTCTCAGAAATACTTATCTGTCCTTTTTAATTACAGGCCCTGAAACCAGGGTCAACAACATAAAATATCACAAATGACCATAAGACATTCAACCTACACAAGCAAGCATGGAGATAAAGATATATATTTATATAATATATACATATTTTAATATTATATTGGTCCACTGAGTATATATATTTTAACAAAAGATAAGAATCTATATAATCCAGTTAAACATACATAAGATTAGGGTACACTTATTACATTGAAAGTTGGTGTTCATAAGTTACAGATATTTAATATTTTCCAGAGTGTTTTTTTTAATTAAAAAAAAATATTTTAAAAGCATTTCAAACATTTGTTCATTTTCCCAGTGCAAAAGAAGGTTGTTCAAGTCAACTTACCTTTTTCTCAAAGAGTAAGGGGAAGGAGGAAAAAAAAAAAAAAATAAAACAGAAAACACCACCTACCAGCAATTCCCAACACTACCTTCTCAATCAACTTTTGCTAACTTGCCTAAATCCTTAGGTCACTGGATTAGTTTATCAAAATTAAAGCCTTGTGATTATGATTCAGCCCTTGCTTCATATATGACTTTTATGTTGAAATGTTTTTATATAAAAAATTAGAAAAAAGTTAGCAGTACAGGAAGTGGTTTGTTTTAAACTCCAGCCATCCAATTGTGTGTGGAAAGAAGAAAAGCACCATTTCAAGATCATATGAATTAGATATTTTGGAATTTACTTATAGTCTAAGCAATAAGTTACTCTGATTATCACAGATCAATACCACCTTGACTTGTTGATCCCAGAGAATTTAAATTAGGTTTTAGGTACATTTTTCTTTATCTGTTATTTAATACATTATCTAACTCAGTAACTCATGTGCAAAAAGAAGATTACAATATACAGCCTTCACAATCTATTTCAAATTCAGCTTGCCTGCTAGGTTAGTTTTAAAGATGGGATTTTAAAATGTAAGGAGTTTTGAAAATTTGGCAGCTCTTTTCCCTTCCAATTAAAAAAAAAAAAAAAAATCTAGGTTGCCCTTTTTATAGGTGAAAAACATGAAGTAAATAAACTAATTTAAACTACAAAGACAAAAAGCAATATGGTATAATACATGTCACCCTTCCTATTTGTATTCAGTGAAAGTTTTTATATTTCAAGTAGTTAAGCCTTCATTAAAGAAAACAAAAATATACATGAAAAATTAAAGTACCTTCCAGTTGTAGCTTGCTAATGTTTCTTCTGCAAAAGTATAATAGTAAACTAAATGAACTCAAGAGGACAGTGCCACTGCAAAGGCAGAACAGCTGCATGTTAATTAAGATTTGTGCTTACCTTATACTGATGGGTACATTTTAAGTGATCAATTTTCTTCACATCTGGCACTTAAAATGGACATTTTCTTACAAACTTTCTTGTAAGAAACTGATTTTGTTAATTAGCAAATTTATGGAGAGGTATCTGTTGACCTAAAATTCCTTAAATCCACAGAAAATTGTTTTAAAAAAAGTATTTCCACATGAGGTTTTAATGTTTTTTATTTAGGAAAAATTTAAGTTTTAAGTTAAAATCGTTCTATCTAAAGCATCCTTTTTTCAATAGTGGAGTAGATTGATGCAAAATATTTTTCCTTTTCTCTAAAAAACAAATTAAATGGTATTTGTACTCCAAGGATATACAAAAATGTACTTTATACTAGCCAATTTACATCAATCATAAAAGAAATGCGATGTTTGTTCTCTTCCTCTCCTTCAACCATTCAAATCAAGGGAGAATACTGCAAACTTTATAAACTCCACTAACTCTAATCAGAATAACCACAGAACAAAGGTAGCATGGGGTGAAACTATTTCTCTACATTCCAGAAGGCAGAAGCTTGGATGCTCTAGCTTTACAAGTAAAAGTAGCATAGGCAGGCTGAAGCTCACAGTAAATGCACACCAGAACAGGGGCCTAGGTAAAGCTGTCTGATTAGGTTACTGCTTTTAGAAGAAATAATAAAAGTCAAATCTGAGAGTACAAAAGAAAAAACCTAGACTTTTGTCACATTTACAGGAATCTCAAACCTTTTGTATTCCCATGCTCACAGGTAGTTTTGATATACATGGTAAATAGCATCAATATTTAGGAAGAAGAGTATTGTAGACAAAGGACAAGAGAATTCTTCATGCTTCTGATATCTCGGATTTGCTGAGTGCAATAGCCAGTTCTAGGTCTTCTTGTTCTTGCTGATTCAGTCGGGCAAGCCTTTGCTCTTCCTCTCTCTCACTCTCCCTCTTGGCCCATTCAATCATATCTTCCTCAGAGGGATACTGCCATTTAAAAGACATAATGAATGAACAAATTACTAAATGAATAAGTAAAACAATAAAAAGAAGAAAAAATTGTTTATATAAAACTTTCAAATAAATAAAACATAATAAAATTTGTTTCACCTGAAGGATTCTGGGAATATAATCTTGTTTACTTGTCCCCCACCCCTCCCAAACAAAATTTATTTATTTTTTGTTTGGTACTGAGAATTGAACCCAGAGGAACTCTACCACCGAGCCACATCCCCAGTCCTTTTTATTTTTTTAAATATTTTTTTTTTTAGTTGTAGTTGGACACAATACCTTTATTTTTATGTGGTGCTGAGGATTGAACCCAGTATCCCACATGTGCTAGGTGAGTACTCTACCGCTGAGCCCCCACCCCAGCAGTCCTTTTTAATTTTGAGACAGGGTCTCACCAAGTTGCTTAGGGCCTTGCTAAGTTGCGGAGGCTGGCCTCGAATTTGTCATGCTCCTATCTCAGCCTCTCCAGACACTGGGATTACACGTGTGTGCTACTGTGCTCAGCAATAAGTTTAGTTTTAACCAGTTACATAACTGTGGTTTATTTTTAAAAAATTCCATCTATAGACTTTGTCTATAAAAGTAAATATTAAAAATATTACTTAGAAACACTTCAAGTAGATAAGCAGATTCAAAAATGGAAGAGGGGTAGACTTTTTGATATAATGTAAAATATTTACTATTTAAACTTAAGTGAGCATCCTCACATTATAAATAATTTTTAACTTAAGCCAACTGGCGATTTTCCACCTCATCCTAGACTTTCAGGTACAGAAAAACTATGAAGGAAAAAATAGGCTGATTTTGCTATATATAATAAAGAGTATTGGTTATACTAAGCAAGATAAGAACCAAAACTATTTTTTTTAAAGTATATTGAAGATTTTGGCAGGCTTTGAGAACTTTTGGACTCAGTTTTTTAAAAAACCCTTAATACTAATGATTAATCAATCGGGGAAATGTTTTTATTCAACCAAAACAGCAACTTCAGCAGAAACTAAATACAAAATTCTACTTGGTTTCAAGTCTTGTCATATAGAAGAGGACTTTATAAGGATAAAATGAAAGAAATATTCAAGACTTTTTGAAAATGGTAGTTTTTTTTTCCTAGGAGAATTAGAGGACCTGTGAAATTTATAATACTTAACAAGTCTTCCAAAATTAAAAAAAAGGATATTTTTATAACAAGCTATTTTATATTTACACTATCCTGAGATTTGAGTATAAAGTAAGTAAAATGCCTCAGTTATTGTTTGAAAGTTATTCCAATCAGGTTTTGATTTGCTTTCTGAAATTTTACTTAACATATTAAATACCACAAATTGTCACAGGTTATTTTTTTATACTAAGAGAATTATAATCTTCTAAGTAAGCCAATTCTTGATTCTCTGCTTGAAATAACAAATTCCATCTGAAATGAAAGGTCAGGATAATTCTGACACTCCACTTTTACAATATTTGAAATATTGATTTCTATTTTTCTCCTTGACCTTCAGCAGAAGCCATCAGAACTTAAAAGTACAGATTAAAAAGCTGGGTGGTACACCTTCCTTAGTTGCACACAGATTCTTGCCCACCTTCTCTCTCTCTCTCTCTCTCTCTCTCGAACCCAGGGGTGCCCAACTCCTGAGCTACATCCCCAGCCCTTTTTATGTTTTATTTGGAGACAGGGTCTCATAAGTTGCTGGGGCTGGCTCTGAACTTGTTATCCTCCTGCCTCAGCCTCCTAAATTGCTGGGATTACAGGCATGCACCACTGTGCCTGTTCTGCTTTCTAATAGAAATAGTAGCAGCAATAAAACTAGTTGAGTGACCAACTGTTACAATAAGGAGGAAAACATTAGTCAGACTGTAGCCAGGGTCACCTGGCCATTACAACTTCTATTTCCAAAATCAAGAAAATAAAGTGATAGATAAAGAAAAATTCTCGATATAGAACAGGCAGTGATAATGAGGTCATTTAACCTGAAAAAATTAAAACTTTGATTAGTTATTCTACAAATTTTATTAAAAAGCAAAAGACTTGATTTTACCTAAATAACAGAATATTATGATACTGACTTATGTCTCTCCAGAGTGATACTTCTGTGATTGGTTGCCCAATTTCTTCTCTCTCTTTTTTTTTGTACCGGGGATTGATCCCAGGGGCACTCAACTACTGAGTCACATCCCCAGCCCTATTTTGTATTTTATTTAGAGACAGGGTCTCACTGAGTTGCTTAGTGCCTCGCCATCACTGAGGCTGGCTTTGAACTTGTGATCCTCCTGTCTCAGCCTCTGGAGTGCCACTGAGCCCAGCTGATTGCCCAATTTCTAATCTATTACAGGCCCTGCCTAATGCCATTATCACAGCACCTTTCTTTTTTTTTTTCTTTTCTTTTTTGTGGTGCTGGGGATCTAACCCAGGGCCCTAATGCATGCTAGGCAAGCACTCTACCATTGAGATACATCCTTAGCCCATCATAGCACCTTTCTATGGTTTCTAAAGGTCTTATTTTAGTCAGCTCTGAGAGAATGCACACCAAGCACGGGAGGCTAGTGAATTAGAGCCCTAAATTGTTTAGATCCTGACAATAATTGATTTCATAAATGCTTTTTTAGGGGGTTTGGAGACTGGGGTCTTGCTCTGTTGCTCAGGCTGCTCTCGAACTCCAGGGCTGAAGTGATCCTTCAACCTTAGCCTCTCAAATACCCTATTTACCATAGATTTCATGCCAATTTTTTTTTTTTTTTGGCAAAAAAAGTGGAGTGTGACCATTATTGTAAAAGTTTATTTTTAAAAAATTATGCTAGTATGATTTAAAAATCGCTTATTACTACACCATCTTGGGGCAATATTAGGATATGTGGAATATTTGTGAATTAATGTATATTCACAATTATGGTGGTAACAATTATGTGGTGAAAGACACAGCTGGAACTATAGGTATGCACCACCATATCTAGGATACATTAAGATTTTAGAAAAGATGCCATGGGGCTGAGGGTATGCAATTCAAAGAATCCCTGGGAATGTAGCTCAGTGGAACAGTGCTTGACTGCTTGACTAGAGTGTACAAGGCCTTGAATTTGATGCTCAGCACTGAAAAAAAAAAAAAATCCCTGCATCTATCCTCTCATATAATAATTGCTGAGTGGTCTTCAAAAATCATTGAAATTTTATACACAAACACACACATACAACACAATTACAAATACACAAGCTCACCACTGGCATTATTCATCCAGTGGGCAAATAGTAAATTATTCTCCAATAGTCCATTAAATCATCATCATCCATAATCATCTGCAAAATTATATGTCAAGATTTTACTTATATTTATGTTACCAAGACCAAGAGGAAGGTTTATAAAACAACTTGTATATAACACAAGAACTAAGAGTAGTAAAATCATTTGTGCAAAGAAGAAATTTTAGAACCATCAAAACAGAATTAGAGGTTTTGCTTGGGGGAAGAATGCAAGATTATTTTAGTATTTTGGCAAATTTAGTTGAAATGATACAAATTTGGCAGACTCCAAAGTCGTCTTGGAAAACTCCTCAAATTGTAAATGGAAAGATTTTCCCCCAAACAGCCCATTCACAGTACTTACAGCACTGAAGTTAGCAAAATTGCTTGGGTCAGCCTCTTTATTGGTAGTGGAAGTAGAAGAAGTGAATGGATCACAATACATATCAGGATCTTTTTCTTTGGGGCTATCATTGCCTGGGAAAGGCTGAAATGGATCATTCACTTTAAAGGGATCAGAAGAATCCAATTTGTTGATGGGTCTTTTCCCTGGATCAAAATCATTACAGTTAACTCAACCAGTAAATATGGCAAACACAAGCACACAAGAACATGTACACAGGGAGCATTAAAGAACTAAAGGTGGAGGATGGGGGCGAGAACCTGAAACATATTCTTTATATCGACTTAAATGCCATACCAACAATCTGATCTCTCAAATAGACTCCAACAAGATATAGCTTAATAAAAAAAAAAAAAAAAAAAACAGCAAAGAGCGGAATAGGCCAGGAATCATATTTCCTCACCTCAAAAGAGCATGTTCCCAAGAAGAGAGGGAGGAAAGGACAAAATAGGAGGAAAATGATAAAGAATAAAGATGTCAATGGCTTCTGTTGCTATAACCTTAGCCTGATACTTGTACAGACACCCACTGGTAAGAGCAAATGACCTTTAAAAATGGCAAAATTCCTATGGTTTTTCTCTAAATCTCTCTCTGTAATACCTACAAGCATAAAACTAAAAATTATCTTGGTAAAACCTTGCCTACTTTTTGACATCTACAATATTTCAAACTTAAAAATAAACAATGTTTTGAAGACCAAAGCCTGTATCTTTGTGGTTGTTCACAAACTAATCTTTGGTTAAATAACAGTATGATGTTCTGTTAGTCACTTATTAGTTCAGTGTCACTTTCCAACAAATTCTCTGATTTTATTTTTTTTATTTTTTGGAACTGGGGATTTAACTCAGGGGTGCTTTATCACTGAGCTATATCCCCAACCCTTTTTATTTCGAGACAGAGTCTCATTGAGTTGCTGAGGCTAGCCTCAAATTTGTGATCCTCCTGCCTCAGCCTCCTGAGTTGCTGGGATTATAAGCGTGCACTACTGCATCTGGAAAGTTCTCCAATTTTAAAGTCTTACTTAAACTTAATACTTATTTTTTTTTTTAAAGTGAGAGAGAGAGAGAGAATTTTAATATTTATTTTTTAGTTTTTGGCGGACACAACATCTTTGTTTGTATGTGGTGCTGAGGATCGAACCCAGGCCGCACGCATGCCAGGCGAGCGCGCTACCGTTTGAGCCACATCCCCAGCCCCAACTTAATACTTCTTGAAGAAAAGATAATAAGAATGGTGTTAAAATGTCTTCAAATATATTTTTTCTTAACATGCATTAAGCTGGTTAATTAAACAATCATAATAGATTATTTCCATCAGTATTTTATCTTACAAAAGATGTTTAAATCCCAAAATCTCAATCCTATGAAAGCAGGCAAAATTAGAGTTACTGCCACCATCTAACAACTAAGGCAGCTGAGAGTTAGACATGTGAAATTATACACTTAAGGTCACAGAGTGAGGGTTGGGGATATAGCTCAGTGGTAGAGCACTTACCTAGCATGCACGAGGTCCTGGGTTTGAACCCCAGTACCAGAGAAAAAAAATTACAGAACAAGTCAGGGAATATCCAGAATTAGAACCCAGGTGTTTTGGTTCCCAATCAGTTCTCGTTCCAAAAAACCACCTTTTTTCCTTGGTCTTCCTCCAATGATGTATACTCAAGAGATTCTATTCTTAATTTTAATTAAGGCACCAGTATATTACTTTACTTACGACTTTAAAATAACCTCACCATTGGCATCATACAGGTTTAAAAGCTTAAATGAGTAAACTGACAATTACTTATTTCTTCATGTATTCTGACCTTACTTCTAGCAATTGATAAAGGCTACTTTTCCTTAAAAGAAAGAAACCACTTAAATAATTTACCTGATTTTTTCAATAGATAATTAACTGTACATCCAGTTATTTAAATCAAAAAAAGAAATAATTTGCCCAAGAAATATCATGCAGAGGTTATTAGGAAAAGGCAAGAATAATAATCTATAAGTATATTTACCAGGAAATGATATATAACTAAAAAGCTAATGGGTCAAATGTGTCTTCTCATAGAATAGCCTAGTAGCACAATAGGGGGTTGCCTTTTAGCCACTTTATATGCCCTTTATTATTTGTACTAAAAACTTCCTGGACCTCTCCCCACCAAATGATCACTATTATAAAAGAGTCTTTAAAGTGAGTTGAAAATAATATTTTCCTTTAAGAAAGGCAATACTTCCTTTTAAACTACTTTGTTGCTGAATTCTGGATACCAGCAGCCATATTTTTTTTACATTAAAGGATTTAAGAAAGACTTTACTTTGTGTAGGAATTTTTTTTTCTCTTATAGAAATTAATTAAAACACCAAAGTATAGGAAACTGCTATTCAAATGGTAATCAATGATCTTCTAAAAAGAGATTCCATCTACACTTCCTTTTTTCCATTTACTATCTCTCCGAAATGATTAAGGGGGAATAAAAGAGCTCTTATTAGAAAGCTCATGTCAGTTCACATCAGTTACACAGGCTGCCCTCTTAGGCACATGACTACAATTCTATACTGAAGTCAGCAAGCTTCTGCTATGTGTTTGACTTGTTTTGTTCACTGCCTTTTATAGAGGTATGTTAAGTAAGATCTGCATAATACTTTTCAGGAGAAAAGGCATTGAGTTGATTTAGGAAAAGCACCAACTCTCCTACCAGGTGGTGGTGGGCAGGGTCTTGTTGGAGTTCCCGTCTTAGGTGGCAGTGCTGGGGGTACATCTTCACTCTTGATGGATGTTTCATCGAACACATTTTTTGGAGTGACCACATTGTTGACAGAGCTTGATGTGGCTGAATTAAAAGGATCTTCATTGTTTGCCTTTGTTTTAAAAAGAAATGTTTATACACGATTTTATATATATAATATATGTAAGACATCTATCTCCAAGCAAACTGTGCATAGTCACAGAACATGCAGAAAAATGACTTAAGTATTATGTGGCTTTATTCATTTCTAAGAGCACTGACATTTTAACCTTTGCATTCAAGGGCAGATGGGATCATTCTTTAATTATTCTATATGAGTAGTAATTGTAACATCACTACTTATAAAGAGTAACGCCAAAACAAGCCAACTCTGGACAGAAGCCTTATTCAACTTCAGGCAATACTCACAACCCATTTTAAAGGGTCAAATGAGCCAGATGATAATGAAAGAAAAAAAATTACTGATTTCTCACTAATGCACTTAAATAAAGGAAAGATTTAATTTTAATGCAAACAAAATGGTATCTAGACAAACTATAAAACCAAACTCAAAAGTCAATTTTTTACAGTAAACTTTTCTCATGGAAAAAGTCTAAATTTGGTTTTGAAGATTACTCCTTCCATACGTAGACTAATGAAAGATTCATTTTCTAAAATAATGACTCAAGGTTTTATGACTTCAGAACTCTTTAGGTCAGTATTTCTTATCAGTGGTACTGTTGACATTTTGGGTTGGACATAATTCTGTTGAGAGGGGCTGGGCAGTGCATTGTAGAATGTTTAAAAGCACTTCTAGCCTCTATCCACTAAATGGAAATAGCATCTTCTACCTAGTTGTGAAAACCAAAAATGTGTCTAGTCATTGCTAAATGTTCTTTGGGGGTCAATCTGACATACACGAATCCTTCTTTCTTAGCCTAAATTAATACCAGAGTTATGCTGGAAAACATATAGTGGACATTTAGCACTGGGCTTTGTTTATTAATCATTTTAGTACTTACCCTAACAACTTCAGAGCACAAAATCAAGTAGCCAATATGGATTGGTTAGAATAAATATTACAGCTAATGACACAAACAGTACATAGGGAAACAAAGTTCAATTGGAAGAGACATGTTTAAATAGAAGAGTAAATATAATGTTATTGAGTAAACATATTATAATTGTCTGTATCATTACCAGTCTTTTTATGTATAGAAATAGTTTACAGCTCTCTTTCATTTCTATCTGAAATCAATATTTGCTAAACTTATTGCAATCAAGTTGCAATGTCTGTGAAAGGAGTCTGTAATTTAAAGGAGGAACTGTTTCTTTAATGGAAACACATATATTCTCCTTCCTCACTAATCACTGCAGATTACCTTTGACAATGTGCTGAAGTCAGCAAATCCATCTTCAAATGATTCATTTCCAAAAACAGAAGCAAAGGGGTCTGTGGCTAAAATGAGTAAAGAAAATCAATGGGATAGAACAGAAAGACATCAAATTTCATGTTTTCTTTTAGTTGGTAACTTCAGATGGAAAATATTTAATCCAAAATATTAACTCTAAATTATATAATTCTTAATTTATGACTGGTGTCCAGAGACAGAATGCACATGAATAATTCCAAAGATGTATTCCTTTGTGTAAATCAACTAAATGATTCAAAATCAAAAACAGGTGAACTACTTCTAGCTAAAGTACTTAAGGCTGTGGAACACATGTCAAACAGTACAGCTTCTATGAACTTAAACTATTTCTAATGAAGACACTACAAGTCAAAAACGTTAGATACCATTAATTCTATAACTCATGCCCATCCTTCCAGGCCCATGTGAAATACTACTTTACCCACAAAGAACTTTACTCCACCTAGAGAACCCTAGATGTAGCTGATTTCCACAACAAGAATTGGTTTCTTCACTCTCTGTGACAGTAACTGCATTCTGATTTATACCATGCTTACCTGATTGATAATCACCTGTATGATCCTTGAAAACAGGCAATATAGCCTATCCAACATGCCAAGAACATAAGAAGATACACTTTCTACCCTTTAAAAGTTCCTAGTGGGATGAGAAACACATCAACAAATAATAATAAAATAGAACTGTACAGTTTACTAGAGAGGTTATGACAATCCTGTAGTGGGAATCACTAATTGCCTGGGAGAATCAGAAAAGTAACAAAGTAGCTATTACATTTGAGCTTTTGACTAAGGTCTTCTGAATAAGGAATGATTTGCCAAATAGAAGGAAGTGAAGGAAAGAAAGCAAACTACCAGGCAGAACAGTTAACTGCAAAAGCATTATTTAACCAGTGCTTCACAGGCACATTCATTATAGTTAACTTTGAAAGTAGACCTCACCTATTCAGACAGAAGGGCTATGAATAATATCAAATGTTTCTACAGTAAATGCTGCCTGATCTAAGAAGGAAGGAATCAGAAGAAAAGGAAAGAGGGAAAAGAGACTTGCAAAAGAAAAGGCAAGACAAAGAGGTACAAAAAATTTCTCCTTGTTATTCCTCAATTCTTCATCTTTACATCAGAATTACTTAAAAAGAAAGTGTGCCCAACTACCAACTTAAAAATGTAAAGTGGGGCTGGGAATGTGGCTCACGCAGTAACGCACTTGCCTGGCATGCGCGGGGCGCTGGGTTCGATCCTCAGCACCACGTAAAAATAAAATAAAGATGTGTGTCCACCAAAAACTGAAAAATAAATATTAAAAAATTCTCTCTCTCTCTCTTAAAAAAAATGTAAAGTGCCCCTACATCTCTAGAAATAAGTATATAAATAAGATAACTACAGATAAAAACAGAAGGGAAACAAGGAAGGGATATTATTCTGTTAGCTCTGTCACTAAGACAGTGACGGGGTATCAGAGTGGGAAAAGGGGATAGGTGTATACACACACACACACACACACACTGTATCTTCTTATGTTCTTGGCATGTTGGATAGGCTATATTCCTGTTTTCAAGGATCATACTTGTCTAACACAGAAAATTCAGTTCTTTAGGGTTTCATCAGCAACTCTGATCTTTAAAAGAATGTTGAAAAATCTAGAGTTACAGGAAATCTTACAACTTTACCTATAAAAAAAGCTTTTTTATTAACACATATTTGATGAATTCCACAGCCCTGGGGCCCAGTCTCATCATGGGTACTGTTTTCAGGCTTTTCCTACTTTTTCTCTTCTTCTGTTATTCCTGATGCCGTAGCAGCTGAGGTATAGCCTGAGCAAGGTACAGACACTCTCCTGACTGGCAGAAAGGGTGGTGAGGGGAAAGGAGTTGGCCTTGTTCCACTAGAAGGACTTAAATTTGCTTCATGTATTTTCTCTGCCCTTGCCCCCACAATCTTCACAAGAGTTCACAACACATATAGCAACAGAACTGAGTTAGATCAGGTTTGCCTGAAATGCTGTGATATATATGTTGTGAAATAAATTAATTAAAAAAGAAGATATTGCCATGTGAAGATTATGTACGAGAGATTTTCTACACCTTCTACAAAAATTACATATATAGCATTGGTTCAAACACTGAGGATCACCTAATCCTAGATGAATGACAAAATGCTTTTGCTCAAGTTGGAGATTTTTAAGACCTTGGCAAGAATCTTCAGATAATGATCATGCTGGAGGTGAAGCAGAGGCCTTCTCAGAAAGTGGAAGGATTCACAACATCACATGAGAGATGCCTTGTGAGGGAGTCCCAGGAGAGGAAGGGAAGTCCCAGGAGAGGAAACACTAGGAGAGGAAGCCTGCAGGTGGCTTTCTTCCTATTGATATGTACATCAGTGCAAATAGTACCTCATTAGTACCCTCTTCTGCTCCAAGAATAAAAGCAATATATTCTGGAAAAACATATAAAAGTGTAATTGAAAAATCATCCATAATGTCATTATCAGAAATAATTCTTGCCAGTATTTTAGCATATTTCTTTAAGAGCTCCTTTTCTGTTTTTGTGGCGGTGGGGATGGAACCCAGGGCTTTGTGCATTGAAGGCAAGCACTCTCCCAACTGAGCTATATCCTGAGCCCGAGCCCTTTTTCTCAGCACTTTTTTTTTCCCCTTAAACTTTTGAGATCATGCTATGCTGACATACCTCTTTGGGAAAATATGAATGAAAAAGCTGTATTTTAGATAGGTCACTTTTTATATCCTATTCTGATTTTTTAAAAAAATTAACATTTTTTAGTTATAAGTGGACACAATATTTTTATTTTATTTTTATGTGGTGCTGAGGATCAAACCCAGTGCATCACACAGCCCCAGGCCTATCCTATTGATTTAATCTCAGCATTTATTGGGCTGGTAATGTGGCTCAGTGGTAAAGGATTGACTCACACATGTGAGGCCCTGGGTTCAATCCTCAGCACCACATAAAAAATAAATGAATTAAAATAAAGCTATGAAAAAAAAGTCAGCATTTATCAATACTTGACATATATTTGCTTAATGCCTGTACTGCCCATTGTTAGAGTCTGTAAACAAGTCAAAAATAACACCTGGCATTTTGCCAGGGGAATGTTAGAGTTCGTAAACAAGTCTGGATGGTGCCTGGCAAAATGCCAGAGGGAGTGGTTTGAGAAGTAACAAAAGCGAGCCATTAAGTGTAGAGATTCCTTATTGGTTGACTGATGTATCTAGTTTATGCTAATTAGATAAGCTGTGTGGAATGTATAAATACTGCTCCTGTCCTGCAATAAACGGCTCCTACTCCTGCTGTATCAACGTACACAAGTTATTCGTCACCCCCCCTGGTTAGTTTGCCCAGCCAGCCGGGCTGCGGCTGCAGCAGCCCATATAAGCTCTATGATGACAGGAATTGTTTTGTTCACTATTGCATCCTCAAGGCCTACCTAGCACAAGGTCTAGCAAATAGAAGACACTCATATTTCTACTACTGAAAGAAAGGGGACAGAAATTATCTACTTATAACTTTTTTTTTTGGGGTACCAGGGATTGAACTCAGGGGCATTTGACCACTGAGCCACATCCCCAGCCCTATTTTGTATTTTATTTAGAGACAGGGTCTCACTGAGTTGCTTAGTACCTCGCTATTGCTGAGGCTGGCTTTGAACTTTCGATCCTCCTCCTATCTCAGCCTCCTGAGCCACTGGGATACACGCGTATGCCACTGCACCCAGTCAAAGCTTATCATTCCTTATCCCATGGGATTAATTTTTTTTTGCTGGTTACAAATTAATTTCATGATAGAAGAAAAGAGTAAGAGTACAGGGGTGGAAATAACGAAGGCAAATATGTTTGTGACCTTGGATATGTAATGTGACCTCTTTGAGTCTCAGTGATTACCAGATGTTGGAATTTTATGAACAGGGAAACTAGACAAATGAATACAGTAAAAACCTATACATAGCCAGGTGTGGTAGTACATGCCTATAATCCCTGTAACTTGAAAGGCAAGAGGATCACAAGTTTGAGGCCAGCCTTGGCAACTCAGTGAGGTCCTCAGCAATTTAGCAAGACCTTGTCTCAAAATAAAAAATTAAAAAGGCTGAGAATATAGCTTAGTGCTATATTCAGTGGCAAAGCACAATCCCCAGTACCAAAACAAAAAAACTATATACATTCCTCTTTTTCCCATAAAAATATTTAGATACTTAGGGATGAACCACTGATCTAAATTACTTATAACTCATTCAGCTTTCCCATATCCCGCATAATTGAAAGTTTTTATGTCAAGCACAATGAAATTCAAGAAAACAACGTAAAGACTTATGCTGTTGTTACTAAAAACAAACAAACGAATCTATATACATAAGTAGGGGAAAACAGATTTGCCAACTTAATTTCAAAAAATAGTCTTCCCAGAAAAGAAAGTTGGTCTCTCTCTTTACTGTTCAATTAAAAATCTTACAATGTAGCAGGTCTGAGATAAATTACTTGTTCATATCTTCATCAGTCAATTGGTAAAGCTCTGCTACTCCCCAGAGATTTTAGGAAGAATACAGATGCAGCCTAGGATGACTCCCAAGGTTCTGCTTGGGCAATTGAATAGATAGCCACACTAACTCATTTTGTCCAATTGCCGCAGATGTGGAATACCTATGAAAACAACCTAAATATAGTATATAATTATATAAAAACAATTATAATTATTAGTATCAACAGTATTAGTTAATAAGCTCTAGACTATGATTTCTATTCTATTTTAATAAACCTGTATTTATTTCACTGAAATATTCATAAAATTGAAAACTTGTGTTTTATTGGGTTAACAAATAGGCTATCTGGAAGAATGTTCAGAATTGTTTTATATTTCGGGGCTAGGGTTGTGGATCAGTGGTAGAGCACTTGCCTATCATGTATGTGTGAGGCACTGGGTTTGATCCCTGGCACCACATAAAAATAAAAACAAATAAAATAAAGGTATTGTGTCCATTTACAACTAAAAAAAAGAATTGTTTTATATTTCACTTTCAGA